ATATAAAAATTCAGAGATATAAAGATAAATTCTGTTTAATTAGACATCTAACAAGGTACTGTTTTTACATGTGACAAATGATTACCACACAAATAACTCAAACACATAGGGATATAATACAGTAAGGGGAAAAAAGTAAATATATTAAGTCCAATCAGAGCCTTGTTCATATTACTAAGTAATTAGACCTCATCCAAGTATAATAATTAAGAGCATAGGTGGTTAAGATCATAGGACATATGGCTAAATTGCCTGTTTTGAAACTTGGGTTTACCACTTACCAGGTGTAAGACTTTGGAAAAAAATCTTTGTGTACCTCAGTGTTTTCATGTATAAAATGAGGGAAATAAATAGTAACCACCATAGAGGTAGGCATGTCTTTAATAATTTATTTAAGTAATAATTCTGTCAAATCATTGCTGGCTTATGCATTTCATTTTTTTTTTTTAATGCTTCCAAGATGATTGTTCCTAGCCCATCAGAAAATGGACAGGTGCTGCGTGTAATTCCATCTACCCAGACAGGAATGGCACAAGTAATTATTCCTCAGGGGCAGCTTGTGGATGTGAATAGCCCTCAGGGTAAGTAATGTTGGGATATAGGGGATTTTAGATTTAAAAAATGTATATTCCAGAAAATCACCTCACGAAAGTCAGTGCTAATTGGTGTCTTTGGGTAAGATTTTGAACTGAATAATTAGAAAAAGTTTCTTAGCCCAAATAAATTTCAAGTTCATTTTTCAACCCCTGTCTAGGTTAGCTGTCTATTTCATTTTGGAATTCTATGAAGCTGGTTGACTCTTGCTTCCTTCCAAATGACCAGTGAGCATAATAAATTCTTCTTAATTATAATAACAGTAATAATAACAGCAACAATAACAAGAATATAATGTTAATAGCTACTGGAGAAATTTTTACTTTTGTATTTTTATCGATACTTTTGTTAGCCATGTGACTCATTACTCTTTTAGTTAACTATTCTTTTCATCCTCTTTGCTGTTTCCCTCTTTGTTCCTTCAGATTCAGAAAGGAGAATCATGCTCCCCATTTTTTTTAATTCTTTACCTATTTGGTAATATCCCTGTTAGTTCTTGTCTTTTGCTTCCCTTCCTTTTCTCTTTTCTAACACCATAGCTACACTGTTTCATTGTTCATTCATAGCTAATGATTTAGAGTAGATGTTTTTACCTTAGTGTTATGATTCTTTGTCTTTGTTAACAGTTAAAACTTAGAGAAAAGAAAGTTTGCAGAAAAAAAATAAACATGGCTTAGAAATGAGTTTTATATTTTCCCATTACATTATGAAACAATTAACATAACAGTTCTACCACTTTTATATCCTAGCTGTTCAATTTAAGCTTCAAAAACTTAATTACAAAATTTCAGTAGTCAGTATTATAATTTGAAACTAAACAAGTTTATTAGAGAAATTCTCAATAAAGCGTTATAAGTTTTGTTATCTTTATCTTTAGAGCACATCTCGCCTTTCCTATTTCAAATGTATGAGTTCTAATTAGTTACCTTGTCATTGTCTTATTCAAGATCTTGATGTTGCTTTGTTCTTTTTATTGCTGTTAAGATGTCTCTGAAGAGAAACCCGGTGACAGAAACTTACCAACCATAAGAGTGGATGTTCTAGCAGACAATACCAGTAATTATACTCTTCATCCACAAGCATCCCTCACATTGCCCAAAAAGACTGTGGCCAGGTGAGTCAGTGGGAGAGAGAAGTTCATCTTTTGAATTCATCATTGAGATCTTTTTTGAAATTACCACGTCTAAAGCTGGTTGGCTATAGAAAAGATCAGAAATTCAGGAAATAGAGTAACATTAACCTAATTATCAAATATCTTTAATTATTTTAATGGCATCTTGGCAACAAGGAGGCTATCCTAGAAGCTATAGTGTCTGAAGTATTACCTTTCCTCAGTGACACTTGCCTGTTATCTTTTGAAGCAATCTGAAAATATCTGACACTCATAGGGTTTTTAGAATTAAAAAAAAAAAGAAAGAAAGAAATATCCATTCTAGTTCCTAAAATCATCTCTTATGCATTTAATTCCTCTGTGGTAAAGTGTTTAAATGTTTCTTATTAATATCTATTTCAGCTTTTATTTTTGCCTTAACATTGTTTATAATAATTTAGGGAAATATAGGTTTTGTATTATTTATTTTCTTTTAACTGTTTATGAAAATATTAAAAATTAACACAATGTTTATGACATTTAGTCTTAGAACTTGACATAATATCATGTTAACTCTTAAAAAATCACCTAAAGATGTTTTATTCATTTTTTTGTAAATGAAAAAAAAATTATATAATGAGAAGACAGCAAAGTAAGTGTTGAGGGAGATATGTAAACCACTTAAATTTATTGGGACTACAGATATTTGGAAGAAGAAACTTAGGCCTTTGCTTTAGCAGCTAATAAGATGGTAATGTTTAAAGAAAATTAATACATCCATCACTCTATCATTATTATTACAATTTTTTAAAGATTTTATTTATGTATATATGTATGTATGTAAGCAAGCAAGCTCTATACCCAATGTGCGGCTCGAACTCATGACCCTGAGATCAAGAGTCACATGCACTACCAACTGAGCCAGCCAGGTGCTCCTACTATTACAGTTTCTTTTCTTTTCTTTCCTTTTCTTTTCTTCTTTAAGATTATTTATTTTGAGAGAGCGTGCATGAGCAGGGGAGGGGTAGAGAGAGAATCCCAAGCGGATTCATCTGTGGAGCCAGATGCAGAGCTTGAACCCATGAGCTGAAATATCATGAACTGAGCAGAAATCAAGAGTCCAACACCCAACTGACTGAGTCACCCAGGCGCCCCTACAATTTCTTATTGATGACCTCAATATATTGTCTTTAACACTGGCTAAGAGGATAAAGCAGTTGAATGTCATGTGTGTTTGTGTGAATGCAACTTACAATATGTGTTTATATACATATTCCTCCCTTTTCCCAGAATGCTTGAAGAGCCCTTTCTGGCTCCTCTCCAGCCACTTTCTTCTAACACACCTATGTGGGCTTGCCGTCTTAGGAGCTGTGAGGTGAGTTAAAGATAATCCTTACTTAGATTCACTAAATTGATTGTAATGCATCCCCAAATGTCCACTTTTGAGTCCAACTAATGGAGACTATCTGTTCTGTAATTTTTGTTCATGTGTATGCTAACTCTGATCTCACCTATTCTTTTATTCCTTAGAGATTTTAAGCTCTGTTGAAACAGAGATCATACAGATCCCTTCATGCTTCACTATCATGTCTTCTCTTGCAACTCTTTTCCTTTATCTCATGAAACTTCACTATCATGTTTCTCTACTTTTTATCTTTTGACCATTCCTTCTCTTTCTTTGCTTGCATTTATTTCTTTTCATGTTCTCAGTGGAAATTCTTTAAGTTAAACTGTTTGACCTTATTTATCTACACTTTATCTTTTGAACTGCTGATCAACCTTGCTAACTTTCGACTCTCACTTCTATAAAAATGATTTCCAAATATATATCACTGGTCCTTTAATTGTTGCCTTGCTCTTGTCGCAGATCTCCAGCTACTTTCTTGTAGCTTTACTTGAATTTCACTTCGAATTCACCATATGCTAAACTTAAATTACCATATCACAACTAGCTGTACTTCCTAAATCCCTTGTCCCTGTAATGATAAATACCATTTCTTTAGACATTCCAGCACAGTATTTTAGACTAATTTCTTTCTTTCCCATATTCAAGTAATCACTTGAGTCTCACAGTTTTTCCTTTAAAATCTCTCTTCTTTTTGTGAGGCAGTTGGGGCTGCCTCTTCCACAGATCTTTGTTATTTCAAACTCAATTACAGTAACAGCCTTCCCTCTAAGCTCGTTGACTCTTCCATTTCTGGTCCCCACTGTCTAGTTTTCTAAAACTACCTGGCTTTGAATATTGCTTTCATTATTTTTTCTTGCTGCCCAACAGGTTCAGTGTTATTTTTTCCATATCATTTACCACTATACATAACTTTTAAGGTTTTTCATTATCTGGTATTACCTTATCTTGTCCTATTTTATTTACTACTTTTCCTCTACCTCATCTTTTATTCTTGTTAGCCTACTCTTCCTACTTTGTACAGACACTTCAGAATCTTTCTTTAACTCTGCCTTCACTTGTCTTTATTTCCATTTCGTAATATGTTTTCTTTTCTTCTGTTTACCTTTGTAACCATTCTTCAAATCCCAGTGCAAGTTCTATATATCTTTTCTTTAAATAATCTAATGATTATTTTAGCTTTTATATATCTCTTTAATTCTTTGGTATTTATTATCATTACCATTATTTTTTTTTTAATCTTTTTTTAAAGTTTATTTATTTTGAGAGAGAGGGCACAAACAGGGGAGGGCAGAGAGAGAGAGGGAGAGAGAGAACCCCAAGCAGGCTCTGCATAATCAGCATAGAGCCCAGTGTGGGGCTTGATCTCACAAACCGTGAGATCTTGACCTGAGCTGAAATCAGGATTGGATGCTCAACCAACTAACTAAGCCAACCAGGCATCCCAAGAAAATTACTTTTTTGTTGTTGTTGTTAACTTTTTTTAATGTTTATTTTATTTTTGAGAGAAAAAGACAGAGTGTGAGTGGGGGAGGGGCAGAGAGAGAGAAGGAGACACAGAAATCTGAAGCAGGCTCCAGACTCCAAGCTGTCAGCACAGAACCCAATGCGAGGATCGAACTCATGAACCTCAAGATCATGATCTGAGCTGAAGCCTACCGCTTAAACATCCAGGCGCCCCATCCCAAGGAAAAAAATTTTTTTTAAATTTTCTAATGCTTATCTATTTTGACACAGAGAGAGAGTGAACAGGGGAGGGGCAGAGAGAGAGGGAGACACAGAATCCGAAGTAGGTTCCAGGCTCTGAGCTGTCAGCACAGAGCCTGACTTGGGGCTCAAACTGACAAGCTGTGAGATCATGACCTGAGCCGAAGTCGGATGCTTAACTGATTGAGCCACCCAGGCACTCCCAGAAAAAAATCCTAATAATCAAGTATAATGATGTGATCTATTGCAATGATTAGGACATGTTTACTATTGTTGATTTTCTAAGTCATATATTATATTTAGGTGTATATGTATAGATGGATAGATTTTTTTTTTCCCTCACACTTTTGTTACTCATACTTTTTCACTGGTTTCCAAAAGTAACTATTATTATTTTTGATGACAGTTTTTATTTTTTATTTTTTATTAAAAAAATTTTTTTTAACGTTTATTTATTTTTGAGACAGAGAGACAGAGCATGAACGGGGGAGGGTCAGAGAGAGAGGGAGACACAGAATCTGAAACAGGCTCCAGGCTCTGAGCAGTCAGCACAGAGCCTGACACCGGGCTTGAACTCACAACCATGAGATCATGACCTGAGCTGAAGTCGGACGCTTAACCGACTGAGCCACCCAGGCGCCCCTGATGACGGTTTTTAAAATCATTATTATAAGCTTAACAGAATGCTACAAAAATTAAAGCATTAGCAATTATGTGGCCATATCACCTTGTTTTACAACCATGATACATTGTGTGTGGCTTCCCTAATGTCATACATCTTGTAAGAAACTGGTTAAAACTGCCCAACAGAATGTTTTTCTATGGGCATTTATTAGATTTCACCAAAATGTAGTAGTTGGATAAATTTCAAAACTGTATTAAACTTTTATCTCCTGATAGAGGCCTGGTTATATTCTACTAATTCTGAATTTTTCCTTTTTTTTTTTTTTTTTTTTTTTTTTTTGGCAATATTATGAACTCTATTCATTTTATTTGTTTAAAAAATGGCATAGCTGGACTTCAAGTTTCTACTTTTATTGGTAGTCAGTATTTTGGTGAAGATATATCTAGGCTAGAAAAAAATTTATAAGTCTACACATTTTATTATTTTTAGGGGAAATTGGAGATAATGTATTGCTTGGCATCAGATTATCTCTTCTTATTATGGCCCAAAGTACATCCACAGCAGTATTGTGATAATTTCATCTTGTTAAATGTATTCCTGTAGGGTGAAATAGTTAGTCTAATACAGTAACAAGATTCCTAGTCCCATATCTCTGCTCTTATTCCCTCCATTTTTTTTGTCACATTAAAACACAATTGAAGTATTTTTATTTTATGTACAATGAGTTGGCATTAAGGTAGGTTATCTTGGATATCTGCAGTTAAAGTAGGTATCTTGGATGACCCATTCAAGGAAGTTCACATAGTCCAGCTTAATGAAGCCTGTATCCTTCACGTACTGACAGAAACACTGGCGGCATATGTTGAGGCTGTATTCACACATCAGACCATGCTGGTTTGAGCAGATGCAACAAGAACAAGAACCCTGGCCAGATTTCCTCAGTGGCTCCAGCAGAGCTGCTGGTGAACCAATTTGCACTCTCAGATGCAACGAGGCAAAATGTTGCTCTTGTTCCCTTTAATGAGGAAATATTCATGGAGCCAATTTCATGGAATTCATGCATTTTATGTAAGAGATCACAGTTAACAGATTTTCTCTACTGGTGTAGAAAAAACTTCTACTTCTGTTGATGGATACTCCTATGGTTGTGAGTGGATAGTATCAATTTATTTACATGATTTACTTATACCTTCCTTGTTTTAGGAAGAATGAAGACAGCCTACAAAAATACATAAAATATATTAGCAAGGTAGAAATTAAAAGAATAAAAAACAAGAATGTAACGATAAAATGGAAGTAAGAAATGTATATCTTAATGAACTGTACATACACACATACACACACACACACCCTTGTCTATAAGCATCTACATTTCAGAATGGGAAAACCCAGTTAGTTACTAAATTCTGTGTCCATTAGATAAAAGTAATTAAGTTGATTTCCATAAAATAAAACCATTAACTATTTTTGGTTCTAGGTTCAGACAGGATTTTCTTTCAGAGAAGGATCTTCATAAAAAGAATCTTGATATAATGAGCAAATTCTTTGATATCATTTCAATATGGGAGATACATCACAATTTTCATAGATTTTCAAAAATATTTGTGTCATGTCAAGATTAATTTCAATAAAAGAAGCTCCACAGGGAGCCAGTACTTCATGGCTAGTTTGTGTTGATCTGGTTGGATCTAAGGGTAAAATTTAAATATATGGAAGAATGGATACATAATGTATTCTTCAAGCTGTCCTCCCTAACTGTTATTTCTCTCAAACAAGATTTTGATACTGATGGTATGACCATGAGTTTGAAATAATATTCTCTAACAAATACTTGGAGAATATTTACTTGAAATCAGATCAGATACACTGGTTGTAATACACCATTGATCTGACAGGAGAATGACATTCTGTTTTAAAAACTGATCAGTCTTTTATCTTGGAAAATCACTTCATTAAATTTTTGGTACAGTGAAACATTTGCTAATAATTTTGTTATTTAATTTCTATAATATGCAGAAAATTGGAGATTCTTACCGTGGCTACTGTGTAAGTGAGACTGAATTAGAAAGTGTCCTAACATTTCACAAGCAGCAAACTCAGAGTGTTTGGGGGACCCGCCAATCTCCAAGTCCAGCCAAGCCAGCTACACGCTTGATGTGGAAATCTCAATACGTTCCATATGACGGAATCCCATTTGTCAATGCAGGTACTTTTTAAAAGAATTTTTTTTTTAAAGGTTCAGCACACCCCTGATACACTGTGAAAATGTGGTTTTCCTAAAAGTTTTCTACCAAATTTTTCACTTTGGTGGATGACAGCTGAATGTTAATTGATGAAAATGCATATTAAACTAAAAATAAAACAAATATAACCAATTATTTTTATTATAAAATTGTATTATATTAGAATAAATAATGCTTTCTTTAGATGTATTGATAAATAGAAAATAAAAACATTAACATAGCAATTTTATTATTTTAAATATTTGGATCTGTTGAATTTTTTTTTATGAAATTCAGATATTCTCTTCTTTCTCTTGATTTGTCTTGTGGGACAAATATGTGTTCATTTTATGTAACTCTGGACTTACTACATAGAATTTGTATGCAATCTGGAGTTACTAAACAGAATTCTAAGACTAAGATACTCAAACATCAGATGTGTTACATATGGTATTCTCAAATTCCAGGCTAGTGTGTATTAAAGTGGTAGAGTTTTGGTTGTTTTTTTTAAGATTTTTAAGTCATCTTTACACCCAACATAGGGCTCAAATTTACAACCCCGAGATTAAAAATGTGTCTCCCTCTCTCTCTGACCCTCCCCCATTCATGCTCTGTCTCTCTCTGTCTCAAAAATAAATAAATGTTAAAAAAAAAAAAAATTAAAAGTCACATGCTCTACCAACTGAGCCAGCCAGGTACCCCTGAAGTGGTAGGGTTTCAAACAATTCCCAGAGATTTATCCTAGAACTAGTCAGACTCCCAAGAACATAAAAATAAGTGATTTATTTCAGGACTATGGGAATACTGAGTCAGCTGGAGGAGTTGCAGTCTTATCCTGGACCTCTGAGAGTAAAAAAAAAGATACTTAGAAGAAGATGAGATAAATGTAACCTCTTCTGCCCAGGTTTCATCACTATCTTATAAAAGAAACGCAACATTTCCCCCCTCCCTAGATTTTATCCCCATGTTAACTCTCCACAGGCAACCACCACATAAATTTGGTATGTATCTTTCCAGTCTATATTTGTATACTTTGCCATACATGTTTGTCTTTATAATAATATATTGTTTTGAATACTTTTAAATATTCATAAATAGTAAACTACAGACAGTCTTATGTAAATTTTCACTCACACTTATTTCTTTTTTTTCCACCCTTATTTCTTGAAATCTGTACATATTGATACTTACAGACCTTAATTTAACTAATATATAACATTCCAGCATATCACCAGTAATATCAAAAATAATGCCACTAATTATCATTTAAGTTGTTTCTAACTTTTCAATATTACAAAGAATGCTGTAGTCATATCTTGACAGTGTACATTTTCTGTTGAGAAGATGGAAATAAGATAATGGTGTATGCTTTAAAGTGGAGATGCTGAGTTGTAAAGTATGCCCTTCACAAGATTATTTCAAGTTGTTCTCTAAAGTGACTGTACAGGTCCAAGTCTCCTCTCTAAAATTTTTTGGCCACATGTATTTCAGAATTTTTGGAATGCAGCATGATACTATTACAGAATAGTCCTAGCAAGTATTCTATAGACACTATCACATAATCAAACACAGTAATACTTTATGGATAGTCACACTAGGAAGGATAAACAAAAGAACATAAATAGCCTTGTAAAATTCAGGTCAGGTTTTGTAGTCAAATGAGTTCCAAAAAATTTGTTTTCTGAACTTTTTCTATTTCAGAATTGTACATGAGGGAATGACGACCTGTACCAATTTTTACTTGTTTCAACAATGTATGAAAATTTCCCTTTCCTTCATTCACTTTATGACTTAGCATTGTGGACTTTAAAAATCTATATATTCTGGAAATTTTCTCATATATATACACACACATATATATATATAGATATATATATATGTATAGAAAGATATATATAACATATATAACAATATATGAAATCCCATGATTCCATGTATTCATCATCTAGCTTCAACAACACTTAGCATACGGTCAATCTTGTCTCATTTATATCACCCTTCTTCATTCCTACCTCCAAGATGATTTTCCAGCAAATTCCAGATATCCCATTGTTTTATGTGTAATTACTAAAGTATATATTATATGCTAAAGTATATATCTCTAAAAGATAAGGACTCTTTATACACATGCATATGTTAAGTGAAGTTACATTATTAACACTTTAAAAGAATTAACTAATTTCTTAGTGTCATAGAATGTCCAAAGTTCACATTTCTTTACTTATCTAAGAATTCTTTTTCCCTAGGTTTGTTCAAATTCACTTCCAGAGTTCACAGATCACATTTGTGTTAATTTATCTCTTAAATTTTTCATCTAAAAATTTATTTTCTCTTTTCCCCCAGGTAGTTTGTCCTGTAGAGTTTGTCATATTCTGAGTTTTGCTGATCCCATCTCTGTGATGTAGTTTAGCATGTTTTTTTTTTTAAATCTCCTCTATTTCCAGTGAACTATTAGATCTAGAGGCTTGATTAAATGAGGATTTAATCTCCATTAAAGTTTTTTTTTTTTTATAAATTTTTTTTTTCAACATTTATTTTTGCGACAGAGAGAAACAGAGCATGAACGGGGGAGGGGCAGAGAGAGAGGGAGACACAGAATCGGAAACAGGCTCCAGGCTCTGAGCCATCAGCCCAGAGCCCGACGCGGGGCTCGAACTCACAGACCGCGAGATCGTGACCTGGCTGAAGTCGGACGCTTAACCGACTGCGCCACCCAGGCGCCCCTCTCCATTAAAGTATTGTACAAAAATGCTTCATAGGTGTGCTGTGTACTTCTTATTGCTACCTATGTGCAACACCTTTTTGTGATGTTAAGATTGATCAGTGGGTTCAGTTATTTTAGAGTATTGTTAAAAATTTTTTTGCCAATCCAAAGAGTGTGAGATGGTATTTTACTATTGCTTTAATTTGCATTTCCATATTTAGTAATAAAGTTGAACATCTTTTTATTTGTTCATTTAATATCTTATTTTTTCTTTCTGAATTACCTATTAATAGTCTGCCCATTATTCTGTTTGGTTCTTTATTTTTATTTTTAAAAAATTTTTTAGTATTTATTATTGACAGAGAGAGAGACAGAGACAGAGAGACAGAGAGACAGAGCATGAGTGGGGGAGGGCAGAGAGAGAGGGAGACACAGAATCTGAAACAGGCTCTAGGCTCTGAGCTGTCAGCACAGAGCCCGACGCGGGGCTCAAACTCACTGACAGCAAGATCATGACCTGAGCCGAAGTCGGACGCTCAACCGACTGAGCCACCCAGGCGCCCCTGGTTCTTTAGTTTTAAAGCTTATTTGTAGTTCTTTATATTCTGCATATTCTTTGTTATATGTGTTGTAAAATACTGTTTTCTAAACTTTTTTACCTTTATGGTGTCTTTTAAATTAAAAAATTTTAATTTTTAATTCATGTCAGCTTTTTCAACACTTTTATTTATGACTGGTGTTTTTTATTTTAAATTTGAAAAGTTTGCTGTGCTCTGCTATACTCTACATGGAACTGGATATTTGACTTAAAATCATAAACTTTATAGTTTTCACATCCACTTATTTGTATTCTTTTGCTATGTAACAAATTACCCAAAACCTGATGGCTGAAAACAACAAACATTTATCTCATTGTTCCTCTGGGTCAGGAATCCAAGAGCTGCTTAGCAAGGTAGTTCTGCCTCAGGTTCTGTCACAAGACTGCTTGCTCTTAAGGTGTTGGTTGGAGCTGCAGTCATCTCACCACTTGGCTGGGGCAGAATGTGCTTTCAAGCTCACTCATGTGGCTTATTCCTTGCCACATGGGTGTCTCCACAGAGCTGCCTCACCACAGACAGCTGATTTCGCCCAGAGAGAGCAATCCAAGCAAGAGCAAGAGAGTACCCAGGATGGAAGTCACAGTCTTTTTATAACCTAGTATCAAAAATAGCATCTTGTCACTTCTGCCATGTTCATTAGAAGTAAGTTAATAAGTCTAGCCCATGCTCAAGGGGAGGGAATTACACAAGGACATGAGTACTAGGAAAATAGGGATCATTGGGGGCCATATTATAGGCTGGTTATTACATTATTGTAGTCCCCCCTTATCCGCAGTTTCACTTTCCAAGGTTTCAGTTGCCTGTTCTCAACCTCAGTCTGGAAGCAGATGATCCTCCTGACGTTTTGTCAGAAGGTCAGTAGTAGCCTAATGCTACATCACAATGCCTACGTCATTCACCTCACTTCATCTCATCACATAGGCATTTTATCATCTCACATCATCACAAGAAGAAGAAGGGTGAGTACAGTACAATAAATTATTTTGAGAGAGAAACCCCATTCATATAACTTTTATGACAGTATATTGTTATAATTGTTCTATTTTATTAGTTATTGTAATCTGTTACTGTGCCTTAGGTTATTAATTAAACTTTATCATAGGCATATATGTATAGGAAAAAGCATAGTTTATATAGGGTTTAGTACTGTCCATTATTTCAGGCATTCACTGTGGGTCTTGGAACATATCCCCCGCAGATAAGGGGGGACTACTGTATTCTAATAGTACAAATAGAAATAAGGAAATAAATAGTTATAAAATGAAATAAAACTTTAAATGACAATATTTACTAACAAATGTACCTTTTACTAATTTCTACTTATAAGGTGGCAAATTTTATTATTAAAAATTATATGTATGTAAATATCAGTTAACATTCAGTAAATGTGCTATTATCAAATTTCTTTACCATAATGTACATTTGGTAAATATTACAATGAACTCTTATTTTTATGTTTATACATCTTAGGAAGACTTACTGATGTTTTCTTTCCTTAAAGTTGCATAATCGAAAGTGTAAATTTTGACATTGCCACCACTAAGTTATTTTTATTCTAGTGTCCAGAACAGATGGATACTTCAATTAATATCAATAGTTGGTTTTGGCCTACAGGGAGTAGAGCCGTGGTAATGGAGTGTCAGTATGGGCCAAGGAGAAAAGGTTTCCAGTTAAAAAAAATCAGTGAACAGGAAAGCAGGTCTTGTCAGCTCTACAAAGCCACTTGTCCAGCCCGGTAAGCTTTATTTTTTTTTTATTTCCTTTTTTTAAATATTTCATTTTTAAGAGCTAATAGACACATTTCTATTAAGTTTAAACAGTGCCAAAAAGTACACAGTGAAACCTAAGTTTCCTTTTATCCTTAACCCTATGTCTCTTTTTAAGGCAACAACTCTTAACAGTTTCTTGTGTAACCCTCCAAAGATACTCTGTGTATATGCATACATATATATCCGACTTTACACTCAAAAATGTTGAAATCTCAGTAAAACTTATAATATTTTCTTAAAGTTAGGTAGTTGTGTACATTCTTTCCTGCTGTGAATTCACATTGCTTTATTTCCATTCTGAATACCTATTATGGTTATTTACTGCACAACTGTTTTGCCTCATACTAGTGTGGATGCAATGACATATACTACTCTATGCTTTGTTTTTGTTATTTCATTCCCAGTGTGTCTCAAAGCTGCCTCCATATTTGTACATAAAAACAAACCGATTCCTTCCTTTTATTTATTTATTTTAATTTTTTTTAATGTTAATTTTTAAAAAAATTTTTTTAACGTTTATTTATTTTTGAGACAGAGAGAGACAGAGCATGAACGGGGGAGGGGCAGAGAGAGAGGGAGACACAGAATCAGAAGCAGGCTCCAGGCTCTGAGCCATCAGCCCAGAGCCCGCCACAGGGCTCAAACTCACGGACCATGAGATCGTGACCTGAGCTGAAGTCGGGCGCTCAACCGACTGAGCCACCCAGGCGCCCCATTGTTCATTTATTTTTGAGACACAGAGAGACAGAGCATGAACGGGGGAGGGTCAGAGAGAGAGGGAGACACAGAATCCGAAGCAGGCTCCAGGCTCTGAGCTGTCCGCACAGAGCCTGACATGGGGCTTGAACTCACGGACCGTGAGATAATGACCTGAGCCGAAGTCGGACACTTAACCGACTGAGCCACCCAGGCACCCCGTTATTTATTTATTTTAAAAATTGAAATACAACTGACAGATACCATTATGTTAGTTTCATGATTCTTTCAGTAGCCATACAATATTACATTTATGGATGAATTGTCATTTACAAAATTAGTCCTCTGATGATGGACATGTAAGCTCTGAAAAGTATTCTTTATTATTGTATATAAAACTGCAGTATAACATTATGCCTGTTTGTGTACTTGTGCAAGAATACCAGTAGAATAAATTTCTTGAAATGAAATTGCTAGAGCAAAGGTTATATTCTTTTAAATGTTGACAGGTATTGTAAAGAAAGTTGTTCTTTAGAGAAATTTTACGAATTACATTCATACCAACAATGTACAAAATCAACACAGTACATTTTAAATAGAATAGGACTACAGACTGGCCATTGCTCTGGCTAAGAGTGAAAAATTTGAAGCAATAAAAGGTTTTTATTATGTTCTTTTCTAATATTTCTTTTTCAGACATTGAAATTTTTAAATTATCAAATAAATAAAATTTTAAAAGATAACATATAAAGGCAGGGTTTAGTTGATCTTTGGAACATTTTATTTCATTATCACATGTCATACACAAACCTCTGCATTCTCAAGAAATTTTTAAAGCCAGTTCAGAAGACTTTTCATATTTAATCTGGTAATGTTAACTTTAGGCAATATTTAAGCCTGACTGTGAAACAAAACTTTCAACTGCTTTTAAATATAAGCAATATAAAATCTCAGGTATAACTTAAGAGAAAATCTCTGTGTATAAAGAAATAATCTTCTTCTCTGTCATTCTACAAGTACTTTTTCAGTATCTACTCCATGCTCAGCAATACATTGGGAAGGAAGGAGACTGAAAGAGTCTTAAGATTTCGCTTACTCTTGGGAAACTTAAAATATTGTTGGGGTACCTCAGGAAACAGAAAACTGTGGGAGGGGCACACGGGTGGCTCAGGTGGTTAAGTGTCCGACTTCGGCTCAGGTCACTATTTCATGAGTTCGAGCCCCACATCGGGCTCTATGCTAACAGCTCAGAGCCTGGAGCCAGCTTCATATTGTGTCTCCCTCTCTCTCTGCCCCTCCCCCACTCACACTCTGTCCCTCTCTCTCAAAATTAAATAAACATTAAACAAGCAAACAAAAAAACTATTGGAGAACATAATAGTATAGTATATAGTACCAAATGTGTCAATTAGCTAACTCATCAGAGAAGAAATATATCCATGCAAACTCATTAGCAGGAAAAGTACAAATTAACCTGGATGCTGAAGTTTAGATTGAATTTGGGTAGGTAGAGAATTAGAGAGAAGATAATTGTTTGTAGACCAGGAGCATTCTATAAATAAAGATATGGTGTGATTTTATTTTTGGTATCAGAGAAGGAACATTGAAATGATAAACTTCACAGAAAAAGCAATTTTATGTTTGAAGTACTTGAAAGTAAGATTAGGTGAATAAGGTAGAGTCATATGGAATGCCTTGAATGCTGCCAAGACATATGTACTTGATTAAAGAGCAGATAAATTCTTCAAGAGAGAACTACAAATGTGAGCAATTATTGTAGCATTGATATATCAAGTGGGTTTAAGGAACAAGGCCCAGACGACCAGAAGGAGGCTATTAAAATAATCCAGGCATGAGTTTTTGTTTTATTTTTATGCTTAAGATCTATTTATTATTTATTTTTACAAGTAGCAAAGTCCCTCCATTTTTTCTAACTTAATATACATGGATATAAAAAGCTATTGATTTTACCCTGCCTCCCACCCTGACAGAATGGGGTAAGAGGAGGTTGTGAGCTCAGAGCAGCTTCTTGATGCCAAGGTGGTTCCTTTTTACCTCAGACTTGAACTCTGGTGCTCTAATCAGTTAGACTTTTGCTGATTTCTTTTCAGTTTAAGAAAATCTATGAGTTTGTGAGCATTCTCCCCAGTGTTCGGGTCTACAAAGTCCTTGGGAAGTTGGTTACTCAGATAGGGACTGGGTTGAACTGTTACTTCACTATTTGTGCAGCTGAAAGCTGGAGAATCCTGCTCCAGGGCATCTCTTTCACTAAAATCACCTTTTAAGTTTCTCCCAGATATCGGCTCTTCCCAAGTACACAGCAGTGAATCAGTTAACTTCACCAAATGGATTAAAATCAATCAGCTACACCTTCCCACTGCTGTTTCTAGATACATCCAACACAAAGTCTTCATTTAAGAATTTATACTGTGTTTCTTGGAAAACTCTTGTATGCACCTGCAAATCTTTTTCTTTTGTTTAGAAATATGATCATAGTATTGTGTATAGTCCCTTTGAAAAATACCAGTAAGCTTGTTTTCCTTAACAAAACATCAGAACTCAGCCCCAGAAATTAATTCACACCATTGTTGAAGAACAAGTTCATATTCTGTACGAGGATCTGGAGAATCATCAGTGCAATGAATAAATGGTTGAGTGAAGTCAAGAATGATGAAATCAGAACTCTTGAACAATGGAAAGTTGTCACTGAATGTTTTACATTTCAGAGAACTGTTCATTGCTATCCAGTTTGCATCCCTTGGAGCACTCCAGTTAAGCCTAGGAAATACACTGCCTCCACCCCCACCTCACCCTCACCCCACCTCCACCCCTCACCCTGGGGAATCCATAGCTTCATGGACTTTAGTGGTAAACTTGGGAAATTCTGGTGCCATAAGCATAGCCATGTTCTCATCATCCGACCACTACATTTCTTCTGCCTCGTCATCACTGGCTGAGAATGTGTTGGCGGATCTTCTCTTCCTGAAACCACCAGAGTTCCATCATGGAGTAAATAATCCTTCACATTCTGAGGAAGTGGAAGAAGACACACTTGATGGTAAGGCTTCAGAACAGTGGATACCACGTGGAGAAATGCCCCGTATTCATCCTCCAGCTGCTGCTGCCGCCACCGCCCCCACCTCTCCCAGCACCCTCCTGGAACTCCCAGGCAGGAGTTTTTTATGGCTTTCAGAAGAATTGAGAAGAGGGAAATCCAGAAACAAAATTACTATCCATAAATATTCAGATACTTTTATTGACATCATGAGTATTGTTCATTTGCTAAGTATTATGCACTGAAATATGGCTTATTTTTCAACATAATCCTCTGAATGCTTTCTAATTTAATTTAATTTTTTAAAAGTTTAATACTTAAACTTTTGCTTGATAAGTTAGATTTTCTTAAGATTATAATATAATGAAACAAATTCTTCTTTTTTTATAAAAAGGATTTACATTAAAAAGGTACAGAAGTTTCCTGAATATAGAGTTCCTACAGACCCCAAAATTGACAAGAAAATAATCCGAATGGAGCAGGAAAAAGCCTTTAACATGCTAAAGAAGAATTTGGTAGATGCTGGTGGTGTTCTTAGGTATGACATTTATATCATTTTTTTTTATTTTTACAAATTAGCTCCATTTACAAGATTTTTTTTGCTCTAAGAGAAACTATAATTATGTTTTCTAATTATTTCATTAAGAAAAGGTTTTTTTTTTTTTTAATTTTTTTTTTTTTTCCAACGTTTATTCATTTTTGGGACAGAGAGAGACAGAGCATGAATGGGGGAGGGGCAGAGAGAGAGGGAGACACAGAATCGGAAACAGGCTCCAGGCTCTGAGCCATCAGCCCAGAGCCTGACGCGGGGCTCGAACTCACGGACCGCGAGATCGTGACCTGGCTGAAGTCGGCCGCTTAACCGACTGCGCCACCCAGGCGCCCCAAGAAAAGGTTTTTATAAGGGACATGTCTCACTAGTGATTTCCTAGGTATTAAAGCAGTTTGTTGCTGTATAAGCCATTGAGTTTATCAGCCAAATGTTTGGATGATGCTGACCAAAGAATTGCATATACCATATGGAAGTTTTTCCCCAAAATGACAAATACAGGTTTAATAACACATATCATTATGTATTTCACACTTTGTTTCTGACACTTCATTGGAACCGAACTTGCAGTCACCTGTATGTATTTTTTTTACCCATCTTTGATTATCTATGACAGCCAGAAATTAATTCTAAGCCCTACATATAATTCCATTTTGTACTTTTTGGGCTTCAGGTTTTATATAAGAAGAAATATTAGCCTTCCTTCTTTCCTTCATATTCAGTCTAGGTGAAGAATTTACAGTAATGCAGTGGGATTAAATATACGGAATATAGTTTTTGTGTGAACTTTAGAAAAACTTTCAGATGTATAGAAAATGAGTAGTCAATAATTAGATCATCCAGGTTAGAGAACATTGCATATAATTTTTAAGTAGGCTCCGTTTCATGCAATATCAATCATTGCAAGCACTTTGTACAAAAGTATCAATTAAAACAGTATCCTACCAGATCATTTCATTTTCCTAGCATCTGTTTTTTGGGCACTGCACTGCTGTATGAAAGATCTGTATTCATCTTCTAGTTAATTCTCTTGCTCATTGGGGCAATTGGAGATGGGGTGCTGTTAGAGGCAGTTTATTGAGTTCCTGTCAGAGAAGATTCTCCCACATAACTCAATAGGCACTGAATTATAGCCACTCTTTGTTTAGACAGATTATAGGTGGAACACAGAAGTTATAATTTGGGGACAAAATAGGAAAATGGGAAAATACACAATTTAAAAGATGATGACTTTAGGGGTGCCTGGCTGCTCTGTCAGTTGAGTGTCTGACTTTGGCTCAGGTTATGATCTCACAGTTTGTGGGTTTGAGTCCACATGGGGCTCTCTGCTGTCAGCAGAGAACTCACTTTGGATCCTCTGTCCCCCTCTGTCTTTGCCCCTCCCTCACTTGTTCTCTTTTTCTCAAAATAAATACACACACTTTAAATGCACAAATAAATAAAAGATGATGACTTTAAAAGTCTTGTTATTTTGAGGTAAAATTTACTTAACATGAAAATTTTTTTATGTTTCAGAGCTGGCTTTTTTTTTTTAATTTATTTTTTAAATTTACATCCAAGTTAGTACAAGAAAAAGGCAAAGGCAAAGGCAGTAGTGGGGAAGGCAAACTGGATCACCTGTCCTGACCTGACCCACTGGCTCCCTAGAGAAGGAAAGGTGCGGCAAAGTGCAGTAGTGGGGAGGGGGAGGGAGGGGAAAGAGAGGGGAGGAGAGAAATAGAAGAGAAGGGGAAGAAGGGAAGGTGGATCTTAACCCTATGTCTCTTTTAACAACCTTAACAGTTTCTCTGTGTCCTCCAAAGATACTGTGTATAGTATCATATATATCCCGACTTAACTCAAAATGTTGAAATCTCAGTAAAACTTATAATATTTTCTTAAAGTGTTGTAGTTGTGTACATTTTCCTGCTGTAATTCACATTGCTTTATTTCCATTCTGGATATATTATGGTTATTTACTGCACAACTCTTGTCATACTAGTGTGGGACAAACATATACTACTCTATGCTTTGTTTTTTTATTTCATTCCCAGTGTGTCTCAAAGCTGCCCATATTTGTACATAAACAAACCTGATTCCTTCCTTTTATTTTATTTATTTAATTTTTTTAATGTTCATTTTAAAAAAATTTTAGTTATTTATTTTTGAGACAGAGAGACAGAGCATGAACGGGAGGGCAGAGAGAGAGGGAGACAGAATCAGAAGGCCCAGGCTCTGAGCCATCAGCCCAGAGTCGGCCATCGGGAGCTCAAACTCACGACCGCAGAGATCGCGGATCTGAGCTGAAGTCGGGCCAACCGACTGAGCCACCCAGGTCCATTGTTCATTTATTTTGAGACAAAGGAGCATGAACGGGGAGGGTCAGAGAGAGAGGGAGACACAGAATCCGAAGAGGCTCCAGGCTCTGAGCTGTCCAAGACAGAGCCTGACATGGGGCTTGAACTCAGGACTCGGATAATGACCTGAGCCGAAGTCGACACTTAACCGACGAGCCACCCAGGCATTCCAGCTATTTATTTATTTTAAAATTGAAATACAGATACCATTATGTTAGTTTCATGATTCTTTCAGTATACAATATTACATTTATGGATGAATTGTCATTTACAAAATTAGTCCCTTCTGATGATGGACATGTAAGCTCTGAAAAGTATCTTTATTATTGTATATAAAACTGCAGTATAACATTATGCCTGTTTGTGTATCGCAAGAATACCATAGAATAAATTTCTTGAAATGAAATTGCTAGAGCAAAGGTTATCCTTTAAATGTTGACAGGTATTGTAAAGAAAGTTGTTCTTAGAGAAATAATTTAATACATTCATACCAACAATGTACAAAATCAACAGTTATTTTAAATAGAATAGACTACAGACTGGCCTATGTCTTGGCTAGAGTGAAAAATTTGAAGCAATAAAAGGTTTTTATTATGTTCTTTTCTTATATTTCTTTTCTTCTAGACATTGAAATTTTTAAATTATCAAATAAATAAAATTTTAAAAGATAACATATAAAGGCAGGGTTTAGTTGATCTTTGGAACATTTTATTTCATTATCACATGTCATACACAAAACCTCTGCATTCTCAAGAAATTAAAGCCAGTTCAGAAGACTTTTCATATTTAATCTGGTAGTTAACTTTAGCAATATTTAAGCCTGACTGTGAAACAAAACTTTCAACTGCTTTTAAATATAAGCAATATAAAATCTCAGGTATAACTTAAGAGAAAATCTCTGTGTATAAAGAAATAATCTTCTTCTCTGTCATTCTACAAGTACCTTTTCAGTATCTACTCCATGCTCAGCAATACATTGGGAAGGAAGAGACTGAAAGAGTCTAGATTTCGCTTACCTTTGGGAAACTTAAAATATTAATAGTACCTCAGGAAACAGAAAACTGTGGAGGGGCACACGGGTGGCTCAGGTGGTTATGTCCCACTGCCCAGGTCACTATTTCATGAGTTCAAAGCCCCACATCGGGCTCTAGCTACAGCTCAGAGCCTGGAGCCAGCTTCATATTGTCCCCTCTCTCTGCCCCTCCCCACTTCACACTCTGTCCTCTCTCTCAAAATTAAATAAAACATTAAACAAGCAAACAAAAAAACATGAGAACATAATAGTATAGTATATAAAATAAATGTCAATTAGCTAACTCATCAGAGAAGAAATATATCCATGCAAACTCATTACAGGAAAGTACAAATTAACCTGGATGCTGAAGTTTAGATTGAATTTGGTAGGTAGAGAATTAGAGAGAGAATTGTTTGTAGACCAGGAGCATTCTATAAATAAAGATATGGTGTGATTTTATTTTTTGGTATCAGAGAAGGAACATTGAAATGATAAACTTCACAGAAAAAGCAATTTTATGTTGAAGTACTGAAAGTAAGATTAGTGAATAAGGTAGAGTCATAAGGAATGTTGAATGCTGCCAAGACATATGTATTGATTAAAGAGCAGATAAATTCTTCAAGAGAGAACTACAAATGTGAGCAATTATTGTAGTATATATCAAGTGGTTTAAGGAACAAGGCCCACGACAGAAGAGGCTATTAAAATAATCCAGGCATGAGTTTTGTTTTATTTTATGCTTAAGATCTATTTATTATTTATTTTTACAAGTAGCAAAGTCCCTCCATTTTTCTAACTAATATACATGGATAAAAAAGCTATTGATTTTACTCCTGCCTCCCACCCTGACAGAATGAGGGGTAAGGAGAGGTTGAGCTCAGAGCAGCTTCTGATGGAAGGTGGTTCCTTTTTACCTCAGACTTGAACTCGGGTGCTCTAATCAGTTAGACTTTTGTGATTTCTTTTCAGTTTAAGAAAATCTATGAGTTTGTGAGCATTCTCCCAGGTCTGGTCTACAAAGTCCTTGGGAAGTTGGTTACTCAGATAGGACTGGGTTGAACTGTTACCTAATTATTTGTGCAGCTGAAAGCTGGAGAATCCTGCCCAGGGCATCTTTCACTAAAATCACCTTTTAAGTTTCTCCAGATATGGCTCTTCCAAGTACACAGCAGTGAATCAGTTAATCACCAAATGGATTAAAATCAATCAGCTACACCTTCCACTCTGTTTCTAGATACATCCAACAAAGTCTTCATTTAAGAATTTATACTGTGTTTCTTGAAAACTTCATGCACTGCAAATCTTTTTCTTTTTTAGAAATATGATCATAGTATTGTGTATAGTCCCTTTGAAAAATACCCAGTAAGCTTGTTTTCCTTAACAAACATCAGAACTCAGCCCCAGAAATTAATTCATTGTTTGAAGAACAAGTTCATATTCTGTCGAGATCTGGAGAATCATCAGTGCAATGGAATAAATGGTTGAGTGAAGTCAAGAATGATGAAATCAGAACTCTTGAACAATGGAAAGTTGTCACTGAATGTTTTACATTTCAGAGAACTGTTCATAAGTTGCATCCTCTCTTGAGCACTCCAGTTGCCTAGAAATACACTGCCTCCACCCCCACCTCACTCCTCACCCCACCTCCACCTCACCCTGGGGAATCCATAGCTTCATGGACTTTAGTGGTAAACTTGGGAAATTCTGTGCCATAAGCATAGCCATATTTCTCATCATCCTACCACATTTCTTCTGCCTCATCACTGGCTGAGAATGTGTTGGATTTTCTGAAACCACCAGAGTTCCATCATGGAGGCTTCACATTCTGAGGAAGTGGAAGAAGACACACTTGATGGTAAGGCTTCAGAACAGTGGATACCACGTGGAGAAATGCCCCCGATTCATCCTCCAGCTGCTGCTCCGCCACCTCCCCACCTCTCCCACACCTCCTGGAACTCCCAGGCAGGAGTTTTTACTTTCAGAAGAATTGAGAAGAGGGAAATCAGAAACAAAATTACTAATCCATAAATATTCAGATACTTTATTGACATCATGAGTATTGTTCATTTCTAAGTATGTACTGAAATATAATATTTTTCAACATAACTCTCTGAATGCTTTCTAATTTAATTTACTTTTTAAAAGTTTAATACTTAAACTCTTTTGCTTGAGTTAGATTTTCTTAAGATTATAATATAATGAAACAAATTCTTCTTTTTTTAAAAAGGATTATTAAAAGAAGTACAGAAGTTTCCCTTGAATATAGAGTTCCTACAGACCCCAAAATTGAAAAAAATAATGAGCAGGAAAGCCTTAACATGCTAAAGAAGAATTTGTATGCTGGTGGTGTTCTTAGAGACATTTATATCATTTTTTTTTATTTTTACAAATTAGCTCCATTTACAAGATTTTTTTTTGCTCTAAGAGAAACTATAATTATGTTTTCTAATTATTTCATTAAGAAAAGGTTTTTTTTTTTTAATTTTTTTTTTTCCAACGCTTTATTCATTTTGGGACAGAGACCAGAGCATGAATGGGAGGGGCAGAGAGAGAGGGATGAGAATCGAACAGGCTCCAGGCTCTGAGCCATGCAGAGCCTGACGGGGCTCAACTACGACCGCTGGACAGATCGCGACCTGGCTGAAGTCGCGCCGCTTAACCACATCATGCCACCCAGGTTTCAAAAAAGTAAGTTTTATAAGGGACAGTCTACTAGTGATTTCCGTATTAAAGCAGTTTGTTCTGTATAAGATGTTTATCAGCCAAATGTTTGGATGATCGACCAAAGAATTGCATATTCATATGGAAGTTTTTCCCAAATGACAATACAGGTTTAATAACACATATCATTATGTATTTCACACTTTGTTTCTGACACTTCATTGGAACCAACTTGCAGTCACCTGTATGTATTTTTTTTACCCATCTTTTGATTATCTATGACAGCCAGAAATTAATTCTAAGCCCTACATATAATTCCATTTTGTACTTTTTGGGCTTCAGGTTTTATATAAGAAAATATTAGTCTCCTTCTTTCCTTCATATTCAGTCTAGGTGAAGAATTTCGTAATGCAGGGATTTAAAATATAATGAATATAGTTTTTGTAACTTTAGAAAAACTTTCAGATGTATAGAAAATGAGTAGTCAATAATTAGATCATCCAGGTTAGAGAACATTGCATATAATTTTTAAGTAGGTCTGCTTTCATGCAATATCAATCATTGCAAGCACTTGTACAAACAATTAAAAACAGTATCCTACCAGATCATTTCATTTTCCTAGCATCTGGGCACTGCACTGCTGTTGAAAGATCTGTATTCATCTTCTAGTTAATTCTCTTGCTCATTGGGGCAATTGGAGATGGGTGCTGTTAGAGGGTTTATTGAGTTCTGTCAGAGAAGATTCTCCTCACATAACTCAATAGGCACTGAATATAGCCACTCTTGTTTAGACAGATTATATACAGAAGTTATAATTTGGGACAAAATAGGAAAATGGGGAAAATACACAATTTAAAAGATGATGACTTTAGGGGTGCCTGGCTGCTCTGTCAGTTGAGTGTCTGACTTTGGCTCAGGTTATGATCTCACAGTTTGTGGGTTTGAGTCCACATGGGGCTCTCTGCTGTCAGCAGAACTCACTTTGGATCCTCTAGTCCCCCTCTGTCTTTGCCCCTCCTCACTTGTTCTCTTTTTCTCAAAAATAAATACACACACTTTAAAATGCACAAATAAATAAAAGAGATGACTTTAAAGTCTTGTTATTTTGAGGTAAAATTTACTTAACATGAAAATTTTTTTATGTTTCAGAGCTGGCTTTTTTTTTTTAATTTATTTTTTAAATTTACATCCAAGTTAGTTAGCATATAGTGCAACAATGATTTTCAGGAGTAGATTCCTTAATGTCCCTTACCTATTTAGCCCATCCCCACTCCTACAACCCCTCCAGTAACCCTCTGTTCTCCATATTTAAGAGTCTCTTATGTTTTGTCCCCCTCCCTGTTTTTATATTATTTTTGCTTCCCTTCCCTTAGTTCATCTGTTTTGTATCTTAAAGTCCTCATATGAGTGAAGTCATATATTTGTCTTTCTCTGACTAATTTCGCTTAGCATAATGCCCTCCAGTTCCATCCAGTAGTTGCAATTGGCAAGATTTCATTCTTTTTGATTGCTGAGTAATACTCTATTGTATATATATACCACATCTTCTTTATCCATCCATGGACATTTGGGCTCTTTCCATACTTTGGCTACTGATAGCGCTGCTATAAACATTGGGGTTCATGTGTTCCTTCGAAACAGCATACTGGTATCCCTTGGATAAATACCTAGTAGTGAAATTGCTGAGTTATAGGGTATTTCTATTTTTAATTTTTTGAGGAAACTCCATACTGTTTTCTAGACTGGCCGCATCAGTTTGCATTCCCACCAGCAGTGCAAAAGAGATCCTCTTCTTCCACATCCTCACCAACATCTCTTGTTGCCTGAGCGGTTAATGTTAGCCATTGTGGTTTTGAGTTGTATTTCCCTGATGATGAGTGATGTTGAGCATTTTTTCATGTGTCAGTTGGCTATCTGATGTCTTCTTTGGAGAAGTATCTATCCATGTCTTTTGTCCATTTCTTCACTGGATTGTTTTTTGGGTGTTGAATTTGATAGGTTCTTTATAGATTTTGGATACTAACCCTTTATCTGATATGTCGTTTGCAAATATCTTCTCCCATTCCGTCAGTTGCCTTTTAGTTTTGTTGTTTCCTTTGCTGTGCAGAAGCTTTTTATCTTGATGACGTCCCAGCGGTTCATTTTTGCTTTTGTTTCCCTTGCCTTCGGAGACATGTCAAGTAAGATGTTGCTGTAGCTGAGGTCAAAGAAGTTGCTGCCTCTTTTCTCCTTTAATGTTTTGATGATTTCCTGTCTAACATTTAGGTCTTTCATCCATTTTGAATTTATTTTTGTGTATGGTGTATGAAAGTTGTCCAGTTTCATTCTTCTACATGTCGCTGTCCAGTTTTCCCAGCACCACTTGCTAAAGAGACTATCTTTATTCCATTGGATATTCTTTCCTGCTTTGTCAAAGATTAGTTGGCCATACGTTTGTGGGTCCATTTCTGGCTTCTCTATTCTGTTCCATTGATCTGAGTGTCTGTTTTTGTGCCAGTACCATACTGTCTTGATGATTACAGCTTTGTAATACAGCTTGAATTCTGGAACATGAAATTTAAAATATGATTTTCATATATATTTAACTCCTATACCCCTCCTTTACTTTAGGGCCAGAGTAAAAGTCTATAAAGGTTCATAAAGATTTTTATTTAATTGAGTATAGAACCAACTTAGAACAAGCAGAGGACATTTTAAGATTTATTTATTAGTTTTAAATTGCTAATTATATTCATTTAATATGATATCATATAATCTTTTCTTAAAAGGTTATTCTTTTTCTTGATGAGGTTTAACATAAGTAACTATGATCCGTGCCTTTGTTTAATAGCATAATTTTAAATATTTCCACTTCTCAGATGGTATGTACAGTTACCTACAAAGCAAGCTCATCAGTATCACGAGTTAGAAACTTCCTGCCTTGCTTTGTCACCTTCCCCTTTTCCTGTGCCTTCTCTTGAAGAAGAGGAAACTGCAATTAGGGATGAAAATTGCGCATTACCCTCACGTCTACATCCTCAAGTAGCACATAAGATTCAAGAATTAGTGTCACAAGGAATAGAACAAGTGTATGCAGTAAGGAAACAGCTAAGGTATGGTAAAAACAAATTGTTCTTTTACATTTTTCATTTTTGTTTGTTGGTTTAAATAATACACTTACCAGGGTGCCTGGGTGTCTCAGTTCGTTAAGTGTCCAACTCTTGATTTCAGCTCAGGTCATGATCTCACAGTCGTGGGATTGAGCCCTGCATTGGTCTCTGCATTGAGTGTGGAGCCTGCTTAGGATTCTCTCTCCCTCTCTCTCTCTCTGTCCCTCTCCCACATACATGCATGCATGCTTTTGCTCTCTCTCAAAATAAATAAACATTAAAAAAGTAAAAAAATAATAACACTTTTTAAATTTAAATTTTTTTTTCCACGTTTTTATTTATTTTTGGGACAGAGAGAGACAGAGCATGAACGGGGGAGGGGCAGAGAGAGAGGGAGACACAGAATCGGAAACAGGCTCCAGGCTCCGAGCCATCAGCCCAGAGCCTGACGCGGGCTTGAACTCACGGACCGCGAGATCGTGACCTGGCTGAAGTCGGACGCTCAACCGACTGCGCCACCCAGGCGCCCCAACACTTTTATTATCATAGACATTTTCCAGGATGTATGCTATCAGAGTAGATAAGGATTATAATTTATTAATTTATTAAAATAATCTTATTATGAACTGATCATTTTGTAGCAGATCTTTGGCAAGCCATGAGTAATGATTCAAATTACTCATTTAAAATATTCCATAATCAGATTTAACAAATTGGACTATTTCTGAATGATATATAAATTGAATTATATAATAAATACCTTTAAAAAAAACCTTTGTAGAACCAAAGATTTTAAAACCTAGGCCAAGATACTTATTTAAGCTATTTGAAATGCAATTAAATGTATTACAACAAAAGAACATGGATAGTTCTTTTTTTTTTTTTTTTTTTTACTAGAAAGCATTTTATTAACGGAAGTTATAAAGCAATATTCATTTACGTACATAGATCTTTGTATGATTAAATTATATGTAGCACTCTGGTCCAATGTCATTGATACTCAAGATACAATAATTATTATGTGGCGCTTACTATGTATGTAACAGATATTGTATGTACTTTATATGCACGATCTCATTTATTCCTGCAACTTTATAAAGTTGATATATTTACCTCCATTCTTCACATGAGAAAATGGACACTATGAGTGGTTAAATAACTGGCTTAAGAGGTAGAGGCAGAACTGAAATCTAGATCTAATTCTACAGCCTGTGCTCTTTACCATGATTTCTGATATTTATTCCTGGCCTTATTCCTACTAGTTATAGTGTAGTTATAACTAATTACAGTAGTCTGATCTGAACAACACAGTGAGTATTTCCTAGGATTATTTCTTAATTAATATATGATTTTTCCTATTTAACAACTTTCTTAGACATTTATATTCATTTTCATTGGGGCATTGTTAGAACAGACCCCAAATTTGGTAAAACCATACATTATTTACTAAACTTGAATCTTAAGAACAGAGGTATAATACAGCTCTGCAGTATGGTCTATAGAATGTAATGCACGAAGCATATAAATACTGCACTTTATCATTTCTTTTTTTTTTCCATTTTATTTAATTTATTTTTTTAATTTACATCCAAGTTAGTTAGCATATAGTGCAATAAGATTTCGGGAGTAAATTTCTTAATGCCCCTTGCCCATTTAGCCCATCCCCCCCTCCCACAACCCCTCCAGTAACCCTCTGTTTGTTCTCCACATTTAAGAGTCTCTTCCCCCTCTCTGTTTTTATATTATTTTTGCTTCCTTTCCTTTGTGTTCATCTGTTTTGTATCTTAATGGACTTTGTCATTTCTTTTATGTATTTGTATACATTTATATGTTAGTGCTGTCTTCTATTTCTATACTCTCTTTTATCTACTTATAAAATTGGAGCAGATCACATTTTATATAGTAAGTGATGCCTTTTGGCAACAGTGTAAGATGATGTAGGCCCAAACTTTCTTACTTACTGGCTAGATGTATAGCTTTGGCAAATTATTTAATGTCAGCAGCCCTCAGTTCCCTCATCTGTAAAGTGAGAATGATAATTGCACTTTCTTCACAGGATTATAGTAAGCATTAATGGAGATCCTTGATGTCAAATGTTTAGTACACTGCTTGACATCATTAACATTCAAAACATATTATGCCTAAACTGAAAATAGTGATTCTTTTAAAAATTCATAAAAATGTCAAAGCTCACTCTAAGATACATAGGTGTTTAATGAAAATACTACATTTTTTAATCCATATGATTTCTTTGATTTAATGTATGAAAAAATTTAAACTGGAAAAATATAAATTATAAAGCTATAAACCATGCTTTACAGAAGTCTATGCTAAAAAAGAACCTTTTTCTCATTTTATCTGAAGTATATTGCTAGATTATTTATGTTTTTATTTTGTTTTATGCTCTCCACAGAAAATTTGTGGAAAGAGAACTATTTAAACCTGATGAGGTGCCTGAAAGACATAACTTATCCTTTTTTCCAACTGTAAATGATATTAAAAATCACATCCATGAGGTACAGAAAGCCTTGAGAAATGGAGATAATGTGTATAACTCAGATATTATTCCAGCAACGGTATGATTACAACTGTAATTCTTTGTTTTATTATAGAATCTTTCTCTATTACTTTTGGCCTTATAGTGGTGGTTGTTAATAGGCCATATAAATGATTGTGATGAAAGAAAAAAAAGTCTCTTAAAACGTAAACACTGTGAACCCTCAGATGATTATTTGACTGAAATTTGTATATTACTGTCACAAGAAGAAATATCAGTGAATAGCCATCTCTGACTACAATAACAATAGTAATCTTCATTTAAAAATCAACATTATTTTATCTCTGTATAAAGTGTATCTTATTCATCTAACAGATATTTATTGAGTATATACTGTGTATATCTCCCTCTCTTTTTAAATACGTTGACAACTTTCAGTACAATAGTTCAGACTTGAATACACAGCATTTTTGTATCTACAAAGGGATGATATTGGTTCTGTATGCCATCTATGGATATCAGTTTTATGTCAACTGTGATGCTTTAATTACCCCTGAATATTGATCATTTCTATGAAAATTTTTCTTACTCTGAAGGGAATAATATAATTACTCAAAAACTAATTATAGTACAGACAGTAATTATGGCATTAAAATCCTAGTAACAATACCTTTTGCTCTCCATGTTTTTACTATCCAAATTATGTCTTCTTAACTGAATAGATTCAGATTTTAAGCTAGTCCTACTATTCTTTTCCATCCAAAACTCTCTTGATTATTCACTGTCCAAAGTTCAGGAAGTAAAATGGATTTGTTTAGTGATGATCTTTGCCATCTCTGCTTGCTATCCGAATTTTTGCTATCTGAAATTGGGAAGCTTATGTATTTGGATGGTGAAGTATACTCGTGCTTTAAGAATATAAACAAGTGAAGAGAGTAATCACTGAATAAAACACAATTGTACTGTCATTGAATAAAATATGACAGTTGTATTGATGTTTTAAAATATTTTGCAATATAAATTCTTTATTGTTTTTACTGAAATAAATGTTTCCATTTCAGCTTCAGTGGACTACAGATAATGGGCATATTCTCAGAGAGACTGTGACAGTTACATTTGCAGAAGGTATGTTATCCTGAATATCTTTTTTTTTTTTTAATATAAACATCTATACACATCATCTTTTTTTTTTTCAACATTTATTTATTTTTGGGATAGAGAGAGACAGAGCATGAACGGGGGAGGGGCAGAGAGAGAGGGAGACACAGAATCAGAAACAGGCTCCAGGCTCTGAGCCATCAGCCCAGAGCCTGACGCGGGGCTCGAACTCACGGACCGCGAGATCGTGACCTGGCTGAAGTCGGACGCTCAACCGACTGCGCCACCCAGGCGCCCCCTGAATATCTTTAAAATATAAAATCAGTGTCAAAACTGGAAGATACTTATTTTTTTCCAATTTTTAAAAAATGTGTATTTTGAGAGAGAGAGAGGGAGGGACAGAGGGAGGGAGCAGGAGAGCAGGAGAGCATGAGAGGGGGAGGGGCAGACAGAAGGAAGGAAAGTATCCGAAGCAGGCTCTGCACTGTCAGCACAGAGCCAGACATGGGGCTTGAACCCACAAACTATGAGATCATGACCTGAGACAAAATCAAGAGTCGGACATTTAACTGACTAAGCCACCCAGGTGCCCCAAAACTGGAAGACATTTAAGGTATTATCTCATCTAATCAAATTTTATGGATGAGGAAACCATGGCCAAAAGAGACAAGAGCAACTATGTTAGGTTTTGTCAAAATAATTCCAGCTGTTTAAACTTCCTCATGTGTATTATTCAGCCATCAAAAAGGATGAGCTGTTGCCTTCTGTGACAACATGGATGGACCTAGAAGGTATTATGCTAAGTAAAATAAATCAGACTGAGAAGGACAAATACCATATGATTTCCCTCATATGTGGGATCTAAAACCAAAACAACTGAATAAACAAAAAGCAGAATCAGGGGCGCCTGGGTGGCGCAGTCGGTTAAGCATCCGACTTCAGCCAGGTCACGATCTCGCGGTCTGTGAGTTCGAGCCCCGCGTCGGGCTCTGGGCTGATGGCTCAGAGCCTGGAGCCTGTTTCAGATTCTGTGTCTCCCTCTCTCTCTGCCCCCCCTCCGTTCATGCTCTGTCTCTCTCTGTCCCAAAAATAAATAAACGTTGAAAAAAAAAAAAGCAGAATCAGTCTTCAAATACGGAGAACAAACTGATAGTTGCCAGAGGGGAGGGATGGTAAGGTAATGGGCAAAATGGGTGAGGAGGAGTGGGAGATACAGGCTTCTAGTTATGGAATAAATAAGTCATGGGAATAAAAGGCACAGCATAGGGAATATAGTCAATAATGTTGTAATAGTGTTGTATGTTGACAGATGATAGCTACACTTGTGAGCATAACATAACATATAAAGAAGTTGAATCATGTGTTATACACCTGGAACTAATGTAACATCGTGTGTCAACTATACTAAAACAAATTGAAAATAAAAAATAAGGGATGCCTGGCTGGCTTAGTTGGAAGAGCATGTGACTCTTGATCACGGGGTGTGAGTTTGAGCCCCACATTGGGTGTAGAGATTAAAAAATATGTATATAAATAAACTTTAAAAAATAAAAAATTTCCTCACATAATCAGCTTTTATTCTTTATGATTAAAATTTTGAGGCTGACTACTAGTACAGTTTACTCTAAAGTTAGGCTAATTCCAGTAGTAATAACCCTAAGGTACCTTGATCAGGAAGCTATTGTCCATTTTGTATGGTTTGTTTTTTCTCATATGTGTACTCTTATACTCTCTTACTGGTCCAGATTTATTTCACCTTTTTTTTCCCCTTTCTTCTGAAAACATGTTTTCTCCACTTTTATATGGCAAACTTCTCTCACCAATGAAATCAATCTCTTTGGCTTTAAGTGTTCTCTTAACTTCACCCCCTGTATAAAGTTAGACATTCACTTTTTGTACTTACCTCTGCATTTAACATGGTATCCTTTTGTTTATAGGTCTGTATCTTTCGTCATGATTTGAACTTCTCAGGGGCAAAGATTGTATTTTATTCAAGTTAACATACCTAGTTCCTAGCATAATGCCTGCTACAAAGTTAATATCTAAATAAATGCTTTAGAATAAATTAATGAATAGCTATATACAGTACAATTTTTTCTTTATTCTTTGATTGATTAACCTTTAAGAGAGCCTGTGCATAGAGAATAACGTTCAAATTCCTTAACATTATTCATTTGTTCTGCACATATTTTACTCACTGTGATAAATGTTGGACATAAAAAAGAACAAGTTTCTTGCTCCATTGAATTTCAAGTTTAGCAAGAGAAAAAGACACTATAAACAAATATATTCTAATTACTGTTATAAATAGTGCCATGAGAGAGTTGTGCAAAATTTTGTGGGAATAGTGATAAAGACATAACTTAATCTGGAGAGTAGGGAAGTGACACTTGAGAAAGTGGCTTTTAAACTAAGGACTGAAGAATGGTTAGGAATCTGCCAATCAAAGGAATAGCTTTCAAAGCTTAGCAACAGAGAGCTTGGTCATGTTCAAGGAACTTAAAAAGCTGGTATGGTTCTAAGGGTAGAAAATGCTTGGAGATAAAAATGGGTATGCAAAATGGGCTTAGGAGGCCCTTTCAAGCTGTCCAAATGAAAAGTGATAGTGGTTTGGTGTACAGTTGGTGGCATTTATACTATAATTGGACAGATTTTAAGAGTTTTTTAAAAAGTAGAATTCAAAGGTTTGATTGTTGATTGAATAGGTGTGAGAGGTAAAAGAATGGGAATGATCTGGGATGACTCGGGAGTTTCTTCCAAGAGCAACTGACTGATAGTAACATTTACTGAGTTAGGCAACACTGGCATAAGAATAGGATCTGGTGGTGGCAGGGGAAGAGAAAAGAAGCTCATAAGATCAGGTTGGAAAACCTTGGGTATCAGAGCCATTTCAATGGAACGGATTAGGAAGAAGCCATCTTGGGATGGTTGAAAAGTAAATGGGTGATGAATGAAGAAGTAGAGACAGTGTGCTGTGAAGGGAAAATGGAGTTGAGGGAAGGGATTTTCAGATAAGAAATATCTGAAGAGATAGATGAAGATGAAGGTACTTGATAGCTTTGGTGATGGGAAGCTGAGGAAATTTCTGATAGTTTCTTTTCTCTTTAAGTAAAAGTGCTAAGAATGAAAAAGATCTCAGGAAGTGTGGCCAAGATTGGACATTTGAAATCCTTTATAACATAGAGTGAGAAGAACACTGTAAGGTTGTCAGTATAGCTGAAGGTCCTGTTGAAGTTGATGATCATGAATTGGTATTAGTAGTAGTAGCAAGTTTCTTTTTCAGTGGCATTCAACTTCGCACATATAGGCACTGGAAGCCATTTTCATTCAATGTTAGGATTTTATCAGGGGTTATAACAAAGTACAGAGAGGCAAAGGAGTTTAGGGTATTTGCAAGGAGTGACTGAAATTATAAACTCAAGACTCTACTAAGCTAAATGGGGAGAGAATTTTATTAAGGGAGAGGCTGATCTGAAGAAAACTGAGAAATCAATGGACTGGAGGGTCACATGAGGTTGAACAACAATTGTAGTGAAGTACTTGAGCAAAATCTTTGGAAAAATAAGAGGTTGTGATCAAAGAATGGGATATTTGAATTAGAGATTTTTAGATTTAGAATAGATGAGGTTGTGACAGTAGTAGTAGCAACAGAGTGAAGTAGAATGACAATTAGAAATGAAGAAGCCAAAAAGTGAAATAAATCAGACAGAGAAAGAAAAATACCATGTGATTTCATTTGTATGTGGAATCTGAAACCAAAACAAATAAGCAAATGAAAAGCAGAAACAGACACATATATACAGAGAACTGATGGTTGCCAGGGGGTCGGGCGGTACAGGGATGGGCATAATGGGTGAAGGGGATACAGGCTTCCAGTTCTGGAATAAACAAGTCATGCGGATAAAATGGAATATAGTCATTGGTACTGTAATGGCATTGTATGGTGCCAGATGGTAGCTACACTTGGGGTGAGCATAGCACAACATATAAACTTATTCAGTCACTATATTTTACACCTGAAACTAATGTAACAATGTGTGTCAACTATACTTCAGTTTAAAAAAGAGGGAATGAAGAAGCCAAGAAATGTGAGAGTGTTGTTTAATCCTCTTAGCAGTCCTTTGAAGAAGATTTTTATTTTGCAAATGAAGAAACTGAAGTTAGAAACCGAGTTAAGTAGCATGTTGAAAGTTACAGAAAAAAGCTAGTGCTTAAATCCATCCTTGTCTGACATTAGGGCCATTTTTTAAAATTACTTAGTGTGAAAACAGTAAACAGTTGCTGATAATTGGTTTTTGATTGACTGAGATGAATTTATTTGGGTTAGTACATAAAAATTACATGAGAGGAACTACATTCCCTAAGGACAATTACTTTAGCAATTGAAGTATTAAGAAAACAGAGATTTGTACTCCTCATTTATTCCAAAATGAGTTATTGAAAGAAATTTAGTACTGGTATTATTGAGGACCCACTTTATGTCAGGCATTATCCAGGCACTAGGGCTACCGAAGATGAATTAAGTTTGGTCTTTGTAATTGAGACTCAATAGGTTTCACACATCTAGAGAAGTTTAGGTGTAGTTCAGCATCATAGCACGGAAAATGGGCTAGATTAGAGTTACAGAATCTTTCAAGGAAAGAAAAATACTGTTTCCTATGTTTCTGGAAATAGTGGACAAAATAATTTCTTTTTTTTTTTAGTGGAAAAAATAACTTTTTTTTTTAATGTTTATTTATTTTTGAGAGACAGAGCAAGAGTGGAGGAGGGGCAGAGAGAGAGGGAGACACAGAATCCAAAGCAGGCTCCAGGCTCTCAGCTGTCAGCACAGAGCCCGACGCGGGGCTGGAACTCACGGACCGTGAGATCATGACCTGAGCCGAAGTCGGATGCCTAACCGACTGAGCCACCCAGGTGCCCCATAGTGGAAAAAATAACTTCATAAAGTCATTTCCAAACCTTTGACTTTATTTCCTATTCCAATTGTGATAGTAAATGTTGTAATAAAATGTAGCATGCTAGAAGCCATAAATGTTATTTTATTTTGACGGCTTATTTTTTTATATAACTTAGGAAATTCACCAGGAGAATCAATTAGCACCAAAGTGGAAACAAATCAGACAAGGGGTTCTTTGTCTCCAGAGCCAGCCCACTTGCTCTCTTCACTTTCCTCATTTCAGCCAAAAGTATTTACTCAACTGCAGGTAGGTAGCCAGTGAAATAAACAAATTTGAAGCCTTTCCCTTTCTTCCTCAATCTCTCCTCTTCTAGGTATTTTATAGAATTGTTATAGAATCGTAATAATGATCAAAGATGTTTTTATTATTAATTTCCTGACTTTTTTGTATCTTGATATAAGATAATTTAAACAATACATTTTGAAAAAGTTGGAGTTGACCATGCATGCAATAAAATTTAGTTGTACTACTATTCCTTTGATTCTTGTTTCTGTCCTCAATATTTGTTAGTAACTGTACCATTATATTTTATTCTAATTGTGTGTGAAAAGAATAATATATCCTATGAAAAAATTATACTTAGTAAATTTAAACATTGATGTAACTCTTTTCGGTTTAAAAGGGTTTGCAGTTGCAACCAAGATTCACTTCTCCTGATGGATCACCGACTCTGATATCAGTAAATAACCACCCTTCCTCCAGTCCTTCAAGACTTCTGGACTCATTAGAAAGTACTGTAATGAATAATAATTCTCTACTGCTTGGTCAAAGTCATAGCCTTCAAACAGATACATGCCTGACCCCAAACAATAGCATTATTACCTCTACCATGGGTAACCTTCCAGGACCAGATCAAAATCTAGCTGCAATGGACCAGCTGGTGCAAGTTGGAGATGTTGAGGATACAGAGAATATGGAAGGAAGTGTTCATCGGATTCTGTTGGGAAATGTGCAAACCATCCCAATACAAATTATAGATAACCACCCAGCTATTAGTAAGTTAAAAGCAACTTGTGATTTTATTTTTTTTAACCTTCATGGACTATCAGTGCTATTGTTTTTAATTTAAATTTGAGTTAGTTAACAGTGTAGTATTGGTTTCAGAAGTAGAATCCAATAATTCATCACTTCCATATAACACCCAGTGCTCATCCCAGTAAGTACCCTCCTTAATGCCCATCATGCATTTAGCCTATACCCCCACCTACCTCCCCTCCAGCAACACTCTGTTCTCTGTATTTAAGAGTCTCTTATGGTTTCCCTCCCTCTTTGTTTTTATCTTATTTTTTCTTCCCTTCCCCTGTGTTCATATGTTGTTTTTTAAATTCCACAAATGAGTGAAATCATATGATACTTGTCTTTCTCTGACTTATTTCACTTAGCATAATACATTAGAGTTTCATCCACATTGTCGCAAATGGCAAGATTTCATTCTTTATGATTGCCGAGTAATATTCCGTTGTATCGTTACTATTACACTACAGAAAAAAACTGTCATTTCTACTCAGGGGTTTATAATATATAAGTCGATAAAGTAAAACTACCAGAAAAAGGGAAAAATGTCAAGAGCATAATAATTTTTAAACTTTAAAAATTTTTTTGTCTCTAGCAAAGTTATTCATTCTCTGATCACCTCAGTTTACATGGAAAATCTGTGGTGATATGAAATCAGAGGGTCATTTTAGAATGTATGAAAAAAATGAGAAACTTTAAAAGGAAAAGATTTAGTGTAAAGGTTATTATGGAAAATTTGTTAAAAGGAAAAATGGGATGGGGTGGGCAGCTATAAAATTTTTAAAATTTTGAGTTCTAGACTTAAATATAGAGTTCTGTAGAAATTGAAAGGAATCTAGTTAAGTCTTAAGGACTTAACTTAATCCAAGACTTTGTTACATTCACTTTGTAACAAACCCAGTCAACCTAAAATTCTAACTCCTACTTGACCTGTGTCACTTCCATTCACACAGATTGTTCTGGATTGGGCACTTTTGTGGGAAAAGATTTGCATTTTGCTTTGAAGAACATAAATTTTCATAGAAATTATCCTTAGAACATACAAAGTATTTACTTTCCATTCTTAGTCATCATTATTTTGGGTAAGGAAAAGTATAAAATACTTCCTTCCAGAAAAGAATCATTATATTTTAAATTTATTGGAAACATTACTTTTAAGAAAATTTATCCAGAGGGCTGTGACAATAGATGAGAAGGAAAAGGAATATATGGAGACTAATCCTCACAACCGCATGAAATAGTTGATGATGTCCCCATGCTACAGATAGGGAGACCAAGGCTCAGGAAGGTTAAGTAATTGCCTAAAGTGATAGAGCAGAGATTTAAACCCAGATCTATCTGCCTCAAAAGTTTCTTTACATTCTAACATGCTTCCTCCCTCTGTGTTGTACCAAGATATTTTTGAGAGCTCTAATTCAGATTGCTTTAAAGGAGACCCTCTTTGGATCTGAACCTGCATGATTTATCAAGTTAGATCATGATCCGAGGGACTCCCTCACCTGCATATGAATTCTCAGGGTCACTCAAATCCATCTTCTATTGGTTTTCTCTATGGTGTGGCTAAACTCTCCCAATACACTCACATGTGACAAGCATTAGGTGTGTTCAGCACACTTTCCAGAGCAAATTTTGGTCCCCTTAATCTCAGTTCCCTGTAGCAATGGAAAAACTGATATCCCTGAAAAAGAAAAAGATTTCATCTTAGATATCCCACCTGCCTGTTCAAGATAATAGTGTTTCTGGTATGCTACATTCTGATTAATTTGGTCATAAGTACTTTATTTAAAATCAGAATGGTAAGTGCATTATGCAGTGTTTCAAGTAAGCAAACACATAACTTATGTAAGTAAGTCAGAGCTATCCATTAAGATGTGGCATATTTTTTTCTAACGTACTAATGTAGTGGAGTTTCTTTAAGGAGGGAAAATTTTCCTTGATATATGATCACATATGGAAACCATATGGGGGTAGTAACATATTGGTAAATTTGTAATATATATGCCTGCTCTTTGCAGAACATCATTTTCAAATAATGGGAGGCTTCCTGACTTTTATTTACACATATTTTTATTAAAGGCAATTAAGTTTATTTTTAAAAAAGTATTTATTTATTTATTCTGAGAGATAGAGAAAGCATGAATAGGAGGGGGGCAGAGAGAAAGGGAGAGAGAGGATCCCAAGCAGGCTCCACACTGCCAGTGTGGAGCTTGATGTGGGGCTTGAATTCACGAACCGAGAGATTGTGACCTGAGCAAAAGTTCAATGCTCAACTGACTAAGCCACCCAGGCGCCCAGAGGCAATTAAGTTTAAATATGAAATACTCCTCATAATTTTATAAAATTATGGACTGGTTTTTGTCAAAGTATCTTTAGAAGAAAATAACTATGATTTTCTTAGTCTCTTCTTTTTTTCACTACCAGAAGCATTAAAGAATTTTTTTTTTACTTCTCAACATTTAATTTTCTATTCTTTTTCTTTTAGTTTTTTTATTGAAGTTTAGTTGACACACACTGTTACATTAATTTAAGGTGTACATATACTGAAAGAATTATGAATGATTATTAAGATATCAGAAGTACTGAGTTCTCAAATACACTGCTTTTCAGAAAACTACTATTTTTTGCTTTGCCTCTAAATTCATATAAAGATTTCAGTGTTATAAGTTACATTAACCTTTAGGGTTTTTCTTTTATGTTTGGTTTTAAAGTTGGAGAAAATCCAGAAGGTACCGTTTCTGTGAACCAAGTTAAGCAAGAACCCAAAGAACCAGCATTGTCTATGGAAGCAAAAAAAAATTTGGACTGTAAGAAATTATCTACTACATAAATTATTGAAGCTTTTCAGAATTTACAACTTGGGTGACTTATAATGTCATAAAAAAGAAGGTGAATATTATCAAAGCGCAGCATTGTGATAAGTGAACTGAAGACCGGTTCAATGAGCAACTTTGATTTAAAACCGATATGTTTGTTGCCAAGTCCATATTTTTGGAACCTATTTTATTCCTCTTATTTTGTATAATTCTTATGCTTTTTGATTATCTGATAAGGCCAGTATTTCCAAAGATCATCTGAACTTATCCATGACAATATAGTCTGAACACAAATAGTTATCTAACTAATCCCTTGGAAATATCGGATTTGGGTTCTGAAAAGACAAACAAGAACAACAACAAAAATAGTGTGTGAGTTTGTGTGTGTGTGAGTGTGTGTATGTGTGTGGACTTTTTTTAAAGTTATAAAAGAAATTATTTCCTCTTTAAAGTTGTGAAGAAATTCTTTAAATTAGCACGGGGAGAGAATATTTGTAGTCTGTCTCATTAGGAAAGATAAAACCATAGTAGATTTTACATCATAACATAAAGCTCAGTATTCACATCTGTGGAAACTGTAATTGCATTTTGGCTTCTTCCATTATAATTTTTATACTTATAACTACAAACCAATAGCATACTAATAGTTATCTAGTAGAAATTTAAAATGTCTTGGTAAGTACTTAGAGTTTTAATTTGAATTAATCAGATAAGCAACAGAAATAAATGTATATTGCATGGATTTATATAGTATTTTAGGTAAAACACTACATGTGGATAGAAAACTATAGAAATTGAGAGAATTCAGAAAGAATAATAAACTTCCCTGGTGTTGACAGATAATTTGAGGAACTTTTTGATATCCACAAAAGATTTTTTTTTTCCTACTTTGTATTGAAGATTCAGCTCTGGTTAGAAAATAATTTGAGTTGTATTTATTTTTCTATGCCAGAGCTCTTACTGAATTAGTGGTATTAGAATTTATAGTATTTCAAGGTAAGTATTTGTAGTTTAAAATTTAGTTCATATTTAAAACAACTGATGTGTTATATTTGCTTGCTGAGTAAGTATATTTACTTGAAATACTGAATAAGTACTAATCACTGTATTCATTATAAGCTTTTGTTTTCTGGAAGGTTGGTGAACTAGAAATGTCAATTATAAGCTGTCAAGAAATCAATTTAAAGGTTTTTTTCACCCCAGGGACCGTTTGTGGGTATATTTAAGACTTTATTTAAAAGTAATAAGGATTTCAAATGGATATTAATATTTATATTCAAAGTATATGGAATGTAATATGAAATTTAACCTTAATATTTTACATGACTGAATCCTTTTTGGCTTTTCTAAAGTCCAGTCTCCCA